TGGCATTCTAGTCATGCCTTAGAAATTTGTGAAACTTTGAACTTGAGGGAGATGATTTAGGATATCTGGTGGAAGAAATTTCTAAGCAGTAAAGTATTCAAGAGGTGACTTGGGTGCTGTTAAAGGCATTCAGTTTTATAAGGAAAACAGTATAAAAGAAAATCCCATTTTCTGTGGAGAAATTAAAGCTGGTTGCAGAAATTTGCATAAGTAACAAGGATTCAAATTCTAATCACCAAGACAATGAGAAAAATGTCTCCAGGGCATGTCAGAGGTCTTCACAGCAACCTCTGCCATCACAGACCCAGAGGCCTCGGAGGAAAAAGTGGTTTTTGTGGGTGGGGCCCAGGTTCCTTGGGCTGTGTGCAGCCTAGGGACTTGACACCCTGTGTCCCAGCTGCTCCAGCTCTGGCTGAAAGGGGCCAATATAGAGCTCGGGCCATGGCTTCAGAGGGTGCAAGCCCCAAGTCTTGGCAGCTTCCATGTGGTGTTGAGCCTGTGACTACACAAAAGTCAAGAATTGGAGTTAGGGAATCTCTGCCCAGATTTCAAATGTATGGAAACGCCTGGAAGTCCAGGAAGAGGTTTGCTGCAGGGGTGGGTTGCTCATGGAGAACCTCTGCTAGGGCAGTGTGGAAGGGAAATGTAGGGTTGGATCCCCCATAGAGAGTTCCCACTGGGGTGCTGCCTAGTGGAGCTGTGAGAAGAGAGCCACCATCCGCCAGACCCCAGAATGGTAGATCCACTGACAGCTTATATCGTGCGCTTGGAAAAGCCACAGACACTGAATGCCATCCTGTGAAAGCAGCTGGAAGGGAGGCTGTACCCTGCAAAGCCACAGGGGCAGAGCAGCCCAAGACCATGGGAACCCATCTTTTCCATCAGCATGACCAGGATGTGAGGCATGGAGTCAAAGGAGATCATTTTGGAGCTTTAAGATTTGACTGCCCTGGTGAATTTTGAATTTGCACAGGGTCCGTAGGCCCTTTGTTTTGGTCAATGTCTCCCATTTGGAATGGCTGTATTGCCCCAATGCCTGTATCCCTATTGTATCTAGGAAGTAACTAATTTGCTTTTGATTTTACAGGCTCATAGGTGGAAGGGACTTGCCTTGTCTCAGATGAAACTTTGGACTGTGGACTTCTGAGTTAATACTGAAATGAATTAAGACTTTGGGGTACTGTTAGGGAGACATGATTGGTTTTGAAATATGAGAACATAAGATTTAGGAGGGGCCAGGGATAGAAAAATATGGTTTGGCTGTGTCCCCATCCAAATTTCATCTTGAATTTCCATGTGTTGTGGGAGGGGAAAGGTGGGAGGTAATTAATCATGGGGGCGGGTCTTTTCTGTGCTGTTCTCCTGATAGTAAATAAGTCTCACAAGATCTGATGGTTTTTTAAAAAAATGGAATTTCCCTGCAAAAGCTTTCTTATCCTGTCTGCCGCCCTGTGAGATGTGCTTCTCACTTTCCACTATGATTGTGAGACCTCCCCAGACATGTGGAACTGTAAGTCTCTTAAACCTCTTTCTTTTGTAAATTGCTCCAGTCTCAGGTATGTCTTTATCAGAAGCATGAAAATGGACTAACACAATGGCTTTGACAAGATTTTGTGAGTAAAATGTTAAGATAGGTGAGAAGGTGAGAAAGGAGTCAAATATATTTCTAGGTTTCTTTTGGGGAAACTGGGTAGATGACCCTTTAACAGAAATGGGAAAACAAAAGAAAGGGGTTTGTGGGAAAATATTATGAATTCAATTTTCACATATTGTAAGGTAAGAAGCTAGTGTGCTATCAAATAGATATGTTGATTTGTTTATCAGAAATGAGGCCTTAGGGGTACATATTGATTTGAGTGTCACGAAATAGAAATGACCCTTGAAGCTACAAGGGTAGATGAGTTCTATCATGAAAGCTATAGACTGAAAAGAGAAGAAACATGAGTGACTAGACTAATGTTAACCCCTAGGAGGGATACCTGGGAGAAGGGAAGGCTTAGGGGAATAAGAACGGTCAAATATATGAGGGGCCTGGTGATGGGTGAGAAAAGGACTGGAGTCCACATGGAGAATCTATCCAATAGAAAAATTACAGTTGAGAAAATCTTGGTTTTGATCAATGGGGCCTTGTGTCCTGAACACTGCCCATGGATTATTTAGCGAAGATACAAACCAAGTAATTTGTCATATTCACATTCCGCTTCATCTTCACCTTCGGACTCCATGGTTTGTCATTTTATTCATAAGCAACCTTGAACTTTGAGTACAAAGCTGCTTAAATCTTCATTGTGTTCTGGGAAAGTAGCAAACTAACTTTTCCCTATTTAAGTGTTTGGTAGATAGCAGATAACACAGATATCTTTGTGAAGTGAAAGACTACTCAGAAAAAAACCAATACAAAATGAGAGACCAAAACTGATTAATCTATCTGTCCTTGTCTTTCTGTAGAGGAAAAATATGGACAAATTGCAGGGTCCAAGTATAGAGAACATAGTGCCAGGTAGTAATTTTTTTAAGACAAGCTAAATAATATGGACTATGACTTGGTTAGGCAGAAATTGATCCCCAAAATATAGTTGAATTTAAGTGAATTATCTAACAGCTGAGTGACCTGTGAAAAATGCCATAATCAATATTTTGCTGGTTAATACCGAGTGTCAGTGCGATTGAATTGAAGGATGCAAGTATTGATCCTGGTTGTGTCTGTGTGGGTGTTGCCAAAGAAGATTAACATTTGAGTCAGTGGGCTGGGGAAGGCAGACCCACCCTTAATCTGGTGGGCACCATCTAATTAGCTGCCAGTGAATATAAAGCAGGCTGAAAAATCTGAAAAGGCAAGATGGTCCTAGCCTCACAGCCTACATCTTTCTCCAGTGACGGATGATTCCTGCCCTGGAACATTGGACTCTAAGTTCTTCAGTTTTGAGACTCGGACTGGCTCTCTTCCTCCTCAAACTTGCAGACAGCCTATTGTGGAATACTTAATAAACTATATATCCTATTAGTTCTGTCCCTAATACAAATACGTCATTAAGGATTCACCGAGTTGTGCCAGCAGAGCCTTATTTTCTTTTTTATAGATTTACTACATTCATGAGATCAAAGGAATGATGTAACACAATTTGAAGACAAGAGATGGTGAATTGATTTCTGGATAACAGAACATTTAAAAGGATTTTGAATTGTTTCAGCATTATTAGGTTTTCAATGAGAAGTCTCAAATAAGTGGAATCAGGAATTAGGAATGTTTTCATATTAAAGATTTGATGAAAGCTGGCTAGCTGGAATGTCTTGAATTTGTCACTTAACATCCTACCTGCCTGGTTTTGGATTTGAACTGAGGGTTGATTAAATGTGAGTTACTATTTGAAGGAGTAGGAATGGGAAGATCTCGATTAATACTCAACAGTCTAAGGATGTTATCTGATACACTGTGAAAAACAACTATTTTATAGAATTGGTGGTTCACACATGCAGAAACAACTTGGGTTAAATGGTTTCTTACTATAGCCATTTAATTTTCCTCTTTTCTCCTCATAGTATAACATCTGGTAGCCCAAAACTAAAGACATTACTAAGAAAAAAATTAGTAAGCTTATCCATGACTAAGGGATTCTACAATACAGTGATCATAAATGATGTGTGTCAACAGATGGCAACTTGCCAAAGTATCTTTGGAGATATTCTATGGGACACAAGTTATCCTTCCCTATTATTTGGTACTTTGATTCTCTATATAACTACCTTCCTGAAATTCTTTCACTCCCTAGACTTTCCAGAATAGGAATATTCAGATAAGATCACTAGGGACTCTTCTAAGTCTCCTCAAACTCTTGCTATAGTGAATGTTTTCCACATCAGCCACATGTACAAGCTTATTTGTATGTATAAATGTAAAAACACACTTGCTACCTTGCAACATGCAATATATCTGTTCAATCTAATGCTTAGAATTAGTGTTTTTGAAGAGTCCTTGAGTATCAAATAGAACTTCTGGAAGTAGATAAAAATCAGGAAAAGTAGGGGATTTTTAGGATTGAGATTTCCAAAATCTTATTCTAATTAATTTCTATACATGACTTTGTTGTTATATCTTTTTACATTTCAACTGTATGCAGTTTATATTTTTTACTGTTATTTATCTATAAAGATAGTAGTAAATTTACATGATTTTATAGCAATGTATATGAACTTGGGTGCAGATTGAGCATTTGTAACTAATGAAGTATTCCACCCAAACCTCCACTAATCAGAAAGTGAGGGCATGAGAAGTGCTGCTGAGTCTGTAGTTTACATGAACTGGGAAAGTTGAAATTAACTAATGGTGACCTGGATGTGATAAATATTTTAAGGAGCATGTAAGTGTGTGTGTGTGTATGAGTGTGTTTCTGTATGTGTACCTGTAAATGAGGGAGGGAGGGAGAGAGAGACAGAGAGAGACAGAGAGAGACAGAGAGAGAGAGAGCGATGGCAAATTGGGAGGAGTGTTGCTCAGAAACATGATACCAAGAAATACTAATGCTATATACTGGTAAGAGAGAAACAATGCATCGAAACATAATGGCTACATATTTGACTTTATGGCATAAAATTTATATATAATAAGTATAGTGTATTAGCTTTTTAAAAATCATAGCTTCAGATCTCTTCGTGGATCCTCACTCAACTATTGCTTGTGAGCCAAGGTGTAAATATATATAATATTCTAAAAATTAGCTGTAAGTAATACTAGCACAATTTTAAAATTAAAAATATTACTTTCCATTCCAGCACATAATTTTCATTTTATATCTATGAGTTTTAATAGCACTCCTATTACTAGAGTAATGAGAAAGAAAAGTGAAATCATATTATACGTTTTTTCAAAAAAGAATTATTCTATAATTAGCCAAGCAATGATGTTGATATCTTTTGAGTCATGCTAGTTGTACATTAAAACCAAGTCAAAGACTGTATTATATTGAGCATTAAAGAGAAAAATTAGAATGAGTGAGACTTACCAGTGTACAGCCTCCCCCCACAAGATGATTTTATGGCTGGAGGATGAAAAGCATCAAACTCCTCAAGATTTCCCTGGAAGGAAAAGTGAGAGATAGCTTTAATTCACATTTTCTGCAGTTGTATTATGTCACATTTAAGTCAGTTGTTCAGATAAAAAAGGAGAACAGTAAAAACTACCTTAGAGATAAATGAAGTTAACAAATTAATGCTAAGAAATGATATCCTAAAATGAGAGTCTATATTATTTCCTTGATGTAAAGTATTGTAGCCAATAATATTTAAAGAATATACAGAATCTTTTGGAAGAATCAATATCGTTAAAATGGCTATACTGCCCAAAGCAATCTACAGATTAAATGCTGTTCCTATTTCACTACTAATGTCATTCTTCACAGAATAAGAAAAAACTATTCTAAAATTCATATGAAAAAAAAATTTGCTCTGATATAAAAGTTCATGCTGTAGGATATTAATTTGTTGACTAACTACAAACCCACTTTTTTAAAATGGCAAACGATTGTCTTCAATTCACAAATAAAGCTAAAACTAAATTTATCATACTGCAATTCTTTCTTACAATAACCTCTAATTATTTAACCACTATTCGTTTCACTAAATCATTTCTTCCACATAAATTCTTGCCTTTTACTCTTTCTGCTTCTCGCATTCTGTCTCAGCTCCTGATTCTACTTTTTTTTTTTTTTTAAGAACTTTTAAGTTCAGGGGTACATGTGTGCAGGTTTGTTACATAGGGAAACATATGTGTCACAGGCATTTGTTGTGCAGATTATTTCATCACCAGGGTATTAAGCCTAATATCCATTAGTTACTTTTCCTGATCCTCTCCCTCCTCTCAACCTCCCCCCTCCAATAGGCCCCAGTGTATGTTATTACCATCTGTGTGTCATGTGTTCTCATCATTAAGCTCCCACTTATAAGTGAGAAAATGTAGTATTTGGCTTTCTGTTCCTTTAGTTTTCTAAGGATAATGGTCTCTGGCTCCATCCAAGTCCCTGCACAGGACATGATTTTGTTCTTTTTTTATGGCTGCATAGTATTCCATATATATATGTAGCACATTTTCTTTATGCAGTCTATTATTGATGGTCATTTAGGTTGATTACATGTCTTTGCTGTTGTGAATAGTGCTGCAATGAACATACACGTGCATATGTCTTTATAATAGAACAATTCATATTTCTTTGAGTATATAGTAATAGGATTGCTAGTAATAGGATTGTTGGATCGATATTATTTTTGTCTTAAGGTCTTTGAGTAGTCTCCACACTGTCTTCCACTGTGGTTGAACTAATTTACACTCCTACCAACAGTGTATAAGCATTCCTTTTTCTCTACAACCTTGCCAGCTTGTACTATTTTTGACTTTTTATGATAGCCATTTTGACTGGTGTGAGATAATATCTCATTGTGGATTTAATTTGCATTTCTCTAATGATCAGTGATGAGCTTTTTCCCAATACGGTTGTTGGCCACATGTAGGTCTTCTTTTGAGAAGTGCCTGTTCATGGCCTTTGCCCACTTTTTAATGGTTTCTTTTTTTTTTTTCTTATAAATTTGTTTATGTTCCTTACGGATACTGGATATTAGACCTTTGTTATTGGAATAGTTTGCAAAAATATCCTCCCATTCTGTAAGTCGTCTATCTTGATAATTTCTTTTGCTGTGCAGAAGCTCTTTAGTTTAATTAGATCTCATTTGTTGATTTTTACTTTTGTTGCAATAGCTGTTAGCATCTTTGTCATGAATTCTTTACCCATGCCTATGTCCTGAATGGTATTGCCTAGGTTATCTTCTGGGTTTTTATATATATATATATAGTTTTAGGTTTTACATTTAAGTCTTTAATTTCTGGCTCTTCTTACTTCCCTATCTAGGTTGACCCTTGGTCTACCTCTCCACACCCTCATCATTTCAGCCTTCCTTCAGTCTCACCACCCTGCTAATTAACAACTCCAGACCTATCTTACAGTCCATTTCCCCCATCCCAAATGTTATGGTGCCCAACTATGCTAGCTTAAGTTCCTTATTCATGAAATTCCTTATTAGTGGTTTCCTGCTTAATAATAACAGTATACTTCATTTAAAAATTAGGCATGAAAAGATAAGTGAGTAAATACCAGCAAGACAGCATGCTTCTGACAACTAACTTTGGCCCTTGTTCAGGAAGCAGAAAACCTATATCTTCATTTGTTTGTGTTTAAAACTTCAGAGGACATAGGTAAGTGTCTAAATCATGAGGTGGAACATACCTGACCAATGAATATTTCAGATTCCCACTGGTCTGTAGGTCTAAAATAAGCTTTACTCTTGGATATTCAACATTGGTATCTGGCAGTACACCCACTGATACTCATACTGCATATCTCCCAAATAAATGTAGTATTAAGTATTTCAATGAAAGATACACATTTATTAATTATTTTAATAAAAGTCAGGACAGGTTAGGGCTGACAGTCTACATACACTAGTGGAATCTCTGCTTTCTCAGGCCTATTTGGATCCCTTTCTTCTTGACATCTAAGACATAAAAATGGTAGATTGTTGACAGGTAAATGATCATCAACATGTTACCCACATACTTAATTCCCTGATGTATTTTACTGCTAAGCCTGGATAAACATTCTGAAGTCCATTTGCTTATTAAGCATCAAGTTTATCAGCATTTAAGCATCATATTCAGATCGTAGTCCACTGTAAAATGAACTGATCACTTAGATATCAAATCAAATAGCAGCAAGGCACACACACACACATTCATGCACACACACACACACATATTTTGCCAGGGTTCTACAAACAGCACAAATAATTTTTATTTTATTTTATTTTATCTCATTTTATTTTATTTTTGAGATGGAGTTTGGTTTTGTCACCAGGCTGGAGTGCAGTGGTGCGATCTCAGCTCACTACAACCTCCGCTTCCTGGGTTCAAGTGATTCTCCTACCTCAGCCTCCCGAGTAGCTGGGATTACCGGCATATGCCACCACACCCAGCTAATTTTTGTATTTTTAGTAGAGACAGGGTTTCATCATGTCAGGATGGTCTCGCTCTCTTGACCTCGTAATCTGCCCACCTGGGCCTCCCAAAGTGCTGGGATTACAGGCTTGAGCCAGATTCTTATTATTTATGTATTTATTTATTTAGATAGGACCTTACTCTGTTTCTCAAGGTGAGTGCAGTGGTATGATCATGGTTCACTGCAGCTTCAATCTCCCAGGTTTAAGTGATCCTACCAACGCAGTCTCCTTGAAGTAGCTGGAACTACAGATATGTGCCACCATGCCTAGCTAATTTTTTAATGTTTTGTTTTGTAGAGACGGGGATTCACTATGTATGTTGCCCAGAATGGTCTTGAACTCCTGGACTCAAACAGTCCTTGTGGCTCAGCTTCCCAAAGTGCTGGGATTATAGCACCATGTACCACAAAATAATATTTAAAATAGAAAACTGATATGGCTTGGATCTTTGTCCCCACCCAATCTCATATCAAATCACAATCCTCAATGTTGGAGGTGGGGCCTGGTGGGAGGTGATTGTATCATGGGGTCAGTTTCTAATATTTTAACACCATCCCCCTTGGTGGTGTTGTAGTATGAGTGTGTAACCATGAGATCTGGTTGTTTAAAAGTGTGCAGCACCTTTCTGTACCCTTCCTCCTGTTCTGGACATATGCAGATGCCTGCTCCAGCTTCACCTTCTGCCATGAGTAAAAGCTCCCTGAGGCCTCCCTCGCCATGCTTTTGTGTATTGTGGAAATGTAAACTAATTAAACCTCTTTTATTTATAAATTACTCAGTCTTGAGTATTTCTTTATAGCAGTGAAAAAACAAGCTAATTCAGAAACTGACACATTCACTTTACATTTAAGGGTGGTTTAACCAAGTCAAGTTTTCCATGGGAATTGACTACTAATATTTGAGAGAGCATCAATCTTTGTTTTCTTGGAAAATATGTCATTTATCTTACATGCAAAAAGATGTTTTGTTAACCTGAAACTTCAATATCTAGAAAATAATTCTATTGAAGGTAGCTTTAAGAGAGCTCAAATATCTCATCTTAAATGAGAAAGAAAAACAAAACAAACAAATCTCTTAAAGGCTTTGTATCTTATATAGTTATTATGTTCTTCATTTTCTTTTCAGTCATGTTCTCTCAAAAAGTAGTTTAATTTCACTACCTCTATTTTCAAACCTTTTCGTCACACCTTGTACATGAGAATCTATCTACTGACATTGACATGTCTGAAATTGCCAATGGCCTTCATATTGATAATTCCAAATGCAGACTTGCATTTATTTTATCTGTCACATCTAATATTTTGTTCTACTGAACATGGGTATCATTTTACAACTTATCTCCTAACTTCCATGATGCTACTGTTCTCTTTTTTTCTTCCTATAACTCGATTTATTCCCTCTTAATTACGGATCATGTATATCTCATGATATTTCTTCTCAGGACTTCATCTTTAACATTTTGCCCTTATCATTCTATAACATCTCTCATGATGGCTTAATACAAAGCCATGGCTTGAATACTAGCCTATTACTATAAATCCCAAATAGATAGCCCCTAAATTGGACATTTTTACATGAATATCCTAAAGACACCTTTGACTCAACTTGTGAAAATATCCAATTACCTTTATTCTATTAATCTGATTTAGTGTTCTCTATCTCAGTGAACAATAACAATAGGTAACATTGATTAAGCACTTATGATGTATCTTACACTTCTGATATCTTATGTGGTTACTCCACAATCTCATATTGGAGATACTAATATTATCACTATTTTGAAAATCACAGAACTGATCCCTAAAGAGGTAAAATTACTTGCCTGAAATCACACAGCTAATAATTATTGGAGATGGGACCTGAACAGACTGCCTACACACTTTACTATTACACCTTGAAAATATTTGCCCAGTTGCACAAATCAGATAATTTGAACTCACTTTATATTTTTCTTTTATTCATCTATTCTCAGAGAACTGTAATCACTTAGTTCTCTAGATTACGGGTATAAAACATTGTATTATTATTGTATC